AAAAAAAAAAAAAAAAAAAAAAAAAAAAAAAAAAAAAGAAACGCTTGCGTTTTTAGAGCCTCACTGCTAAAGCAAGCACGACTAAAAATAAAATATAATGGTGATAATAATAATAATAACAATAATAATGATAATAATAATATTAAATGGTTTCCGTTTTGAACTTACTGCGTCTGGGGTTCTCTTGATGTTAATAATGAATGAAACCTGTCAATTCAAAAGCCATGCAGTCACCTAGTTTCAGAACTTTAAAGCATCAAGTTGCAAGCGCAATCCCTCTCAGCAATTTTTATCATTTTAGCTCTTTGGAAATATTGGAAATAAAAGGCCGACCGAATGATGTCTCAGTATTTAATAAACACAATTCCACATGGAAAGTGCTTTGTACGGTACTACGCACTCGCTTTTTGTTTCAGAAATCACTGAAATCTCTAAAATCTCTCATATATCAACAACTCTCTAACGCGTCAACAACTCGTGCGTAAATATTGTACGCGCGTACTTTCCATGAAGAGTTGTACATTTATTCATATTTTTCAGGCATGCAAGGTTGGATCATATATTTATGAGCAAGGCGAGAGATTCATTCTTGATTGCCATTACTGCACCTGCAAGGGCCGCTTTTTTGGCGCCGGCCACTGTGTAGTCCCCTACAATGCCCCTCTGGGACCAAACTGATATATGAGGACAAACTAGTGCAACGAACTGAGTGCACATGCAAAAGTAAGCAGTTAGGTCAAGCTCTAAAAAAGTGTTTCAACTCAAATACCCTGCCTAGACTGCAAGTATTTATTTGTTGGTTGTCGTTTGAAAGGGAAAAATGGCACGACGAGACGAAAGCCTTCTCGACAATATCTGCCCTTTTCGTCAATTTAGTCTTATGCCCTCTTGGAAGGTGTGGGTTGGTCCCATCGTGACTGTAGATTTTATGCTGTGGATCCAGGATTTTTGGTACTGGATATGAAAGTTCCTGATTCTTCTTATTAAAAACGAGGATTCCGTATTCTAATTTTAGCGAGATCTGGATTCCCTAAACTGATTTCTGGATTCCGGCCTGCTCTCTGGAAAGATGATTTTTGCACCCAAGATTAAGCTGCCTTGGAAAAAGCTAAGCTTATATTAAATTATTGGAACTGACGAAGGTTTTGGTTTGTGGTTTGATTGCTTGTTGAACCCCGATTCTTCTATGCTGGGTCTGTTTAGTGGTCAGACCAGGATTGATTTTAAAATTCCCTGTCTTCGACACATTTGTTTAAAAATACACTGTTTGGTAATTGTAATACAAAAAGAATTTGAAACCCAAATT